AGGAGCACTGTCCATATCAGTTTGCACTTTCCTGGACAAACCAGCAAGGAGGACAGTCGATTTTCAGCTAGTGGGGGGTGGAAAATTTTACAGAGGCTTCGAGGTAGAAAGATCACCCCCTTTAACATTCTGCTATATGGCACAAAGCCAAACTTGGAACCTAAAGTCCTTAGAGGCTACTCCCTCTGTTCCTAAATGCTATAAGTCTTTCTAGACATTTCAAATGGACTACAACATACGGATGTACGTAGACATATTTTAGAGTGTAGATTCACTTATTTTGCTCCGTATGTAGTCACTTGTTGGAATCTCTAGAAAGACTTATATTTGGGAACGGAGGGAGTACTTTGTAACATCAATTATGATTTTAGTTTGCCTCCTCCATCTATAGCAAATCGTACTGACAAGCTATCCTACAGTATCAGTCCCTTAATTAATCGCCAAACTGTTTGTGTTCCTCTGCAGTGCCCCGACAGCTTTGTTGTTGGCTATGGTATGGATTATGCGGAGCTCTACCGCAACCTGCCTTATGTTGGAGTTCTCAAGCCTGAGATGTACAGTAAGAAAACTGACAACTAGGCCGGAGGCAGACAAGACTTGCAAACCCTTTTGCGAGAGCACATAAATTTTGAAGAAACACAAACATTTTGGTTTTTATATTTGTAGGCAAATTGTGCCTAATTTTGCACAAGACAAGTTCCTTTCTCCATTTGGGCTGAGGGTATTATTCTGTTCCTCTAAATAGCATAACAGGAAGCATTTTGCCCATATGCTGCAACCATTCACAGATCACAACTGGTCTGCTTGTAAGCTATATACTCGTCAAGTTCCTGAAAAGGAAAAATAGAGATGTGTTTGTCCGAAAACTCAATTCTGAGCCCATGCTCAGATGCACCTGATATCATCACCCTTAATGTGCATGGGGATTTGGGCCTTTAGTAGTATTCTGGTGTGTATGTAGCTTGTATTCTAAAAGGAAAATAGAGTAGGACAGCAAATGGGTTCAGCGGCTCAGTAGTTTTGGCACGGTCCAGGAAAAGATTTGAGCCGGACTGAGCCGTGCAAGCCTGATTAGGCCCTAACGGTCACGTACCAAAGCAGACCCACCCTCCCTCCTCTTATAGCTCTATACACGTTGGCTTCCATTCATTCAAATTTTGAAACTGCAAGTTCAAAAAAAATAATATTGAAACTGCATTCAGTGCAACCCAAGTTCAATTTTCAAATTGAAACACTCACCCACTAAATGCAACAGTGTATCATCATTTACTTGCACTCTCACATATGCTTTCTAAGCCATGCATACACAAGCACTGCTAGAAAATCCTCAAATGCTAATGGAATCATACAAATATAAACCTCATCTTATTCTTTCCACCAATTGTCGCGCAGAGGCCTTGTGCAACTGTTACGCATGTGCTCCTCAACTCCACAATTCTTGCACTTCCCGAGTTTGTGAGGCTGCTTCGGGGCATCCCCGCGTTTTCAGGGCAAGTTGTTCTCTTGTTCCCTTGCCTTCGGCAGATCCTGCAGAATCCCGTCCGCTCGCTCAAACCCTCGCAAGGAGCCTTGTAACAGCTGTTTGTCAGCCTACCAGCTCCCCTCTGCCTTTGCCGCTGGCGCTAGTCCCTGCCATGCATTTACACCACCGGAGAATCCCAAACTATGCTTTTCAGTAGGACTACCATCTCCTATTGCGGCAACCTAGCCATTACCGGCATTCCTTCAGGCAGATTATGTTGCCTGCTGGTCTTCAAAATCGGGCTCATCCCTCTTCTCAGCCAAAGGAGCACAACTCAGCATTACTGCTTTCATTTCCTCAACATGCGATCAAACTCTTCCGCACTCTCATCACTCATTCTAACAATATCAATCGCTTGTAGGTCACTGTGGAGTGCCTACAAGTGAATGAATGGTTCACTGCCTCATTCTTCTGGTAATGGACCAGATGTCTGGGTAGTATATCCCCCGCGTCTTTTTTCCAACACTTAACAATGTGCTTATCCGGTATTTCAGCCAAATTCAATACGTCCATCACCTGCGCAATCAAAAACAGAGAGCCCGTGTAAGCTTTATCATTCAAGTGCTGGGTCATTTTCACATGTTAGTATGGGCAACAGCAAAATATGCGACATGACCATTAACCTGAGCACATGGCAGCAAAAATATTCCCATGTGTTCAAATTGTCCGTACTCGCACTCGTATTCAGTGCCGTCATCTTTTATTCTCACCTTGTAGACTACGCTACTCCACTTCTCCCGGTTGGTCGCATGGTTATATGTCGTCACATACTTCTTACCCTTATAGTCAATCTCAGTCACACTATATGCAGTTCCCTCAACAAGGAACTGACCAAACTACTAGAACATGTCTCGAGTATAAACCTTGATTGCATGCCTCTCGATCACAGGGTTTATACGCCGCACGGCTACACTCTGCACAAGGGGACAATTGTTAGGGCACTCTGAAACACCTGATCAAATGACAGAAGGGAAGACACTGACTTACAATCCTTGCTCCACTCTGCACAAGGAGACAATTGTTAGAGCACTCTGAAATACCTGATCAAATGACAGAGAAGGGAAGACACTGACTTAAAATCCTTGTTCTTTTCTCCTTGTAGCTCTCATCGCGTTCACGGTCAAACTGGAGCCATATGTACTGGCTCACAAACATGTGCACTGCAATGGCACGAGGCATATACGTTTTCAGCATATTATTAGCACTCTTGTTGTGTTGTGTGCTTGTCATTCTTGCACAGAGAACCCCCTTGATATAAGGCTTCACCCACTTGGTCCTGATTTCATATAACTCTATCATGTATGGGTGCTGTTTCAGATTATACTTTTCCATCAATATAGTCCAGGCATTTTCAATCTCGTCTACTGTGAGCATGTGGTTCACAACTTTCTGATGGCTAATGCACTTTCTCTCCCATCATGAGAGACATTGAGTGGTTATGTTTCTCACGATGCTCTGTTAAGAAACAACTGATGTCTGACACTCAGGAGCCTGATCAGCGTCGGACACTCACATCTGCAAGACCGGTTGTTCCCGACTTTAGGCTTTCGCTGCAAAGATAATCCAATATTAGACTACAACTGCACCCAATTCACCAGAACACACTGAAGAAGTTAGAAATTATGTGTAGTTTGGTATCGCATCACTCACTGAGCATTCACACATAATTTCCTACATTGATTTCTCCCTCTCCGCGTTCAATCTGCTTTTATAATATCTTATCCCGAATCCCACTTCCCACAAGTACAATTGTAGAAATTGTACGCCTTGCCGAGGGAGTCAAAGTTTGATCCCAGCTCAGGCTTGATCACACTTTTATTGGTTTCTCCACAAATTTCCGAATCACACCAGCACACTCATCCGGGAAGCGCAAGGGGTTCTATCAGGGAGGGTGCTACCGAGCCTCAGCCTGCAAATACCAGGGTTTGCCAAACTTTACTCTAATTCGGTGATGATAATCATTTTTTCAGCCAAACACAACAAATGTCGGAGGTCTACATTATTACACTGCTTTACAACCTAATAATCTCACTTGTTTGAGTTTGACCCATATTGAACAAATGCATAGACTCACCAAAGGAATAAAAACTGAAACTTAGTTCAGGCCTTGTCACACTTTTTGTTGATTCCTCTGCTTATTTGCAAATCGACTATTCCAATCCATAGAAATCATTCTGGATGGACATGGCAATATGGCATCCGGTCGGGCGGTGCACTACCCAGCCTTTATCTCTGGGTTCAGAAATTAAACAAAAAATTCAGTTCGTTCTCTTGCTTTCTCTCTGGGTTTTGTTTGTGATTACCCTGGCAACACGCAGGTTGTCATTATTCATTCAGTAATGCAATAACATTTTCTTGGGGGTTGCAAAAAACGTACTGAATCCATGAAATTTCATGTTTCAAAGTGTTCGTTGCCTACATCACATCTACTACAATAGCCTATATCCTGTCTGAAACTTCCGACTAATCCACCATGTCCAACCAGGGATGCACACAATGGAAAATCCTACCAAAACCACGAAATCTTGTTTTCCTACCTTTTTGTGCAACCAGAGGGGCCTGGGGATTGACTCTGTCGGTGGACTGTGGACCTCGTCGGGGATGACTCCTGTCATCGCCGGACCCCAGCACGCGCAGCTTCGCTGCCGTCGCCGCGGATCTGCTGACCACAACCGGAGCAAGCATTGGAATCAGCAGGGGCCGTCGCTCCTACTCTGCCGCTCGCCAACAAATCAGAGGAACCGGATCTGGGTGTTCGTGGCTGTCCGCGAATTCCTGCAAGCGGAACCTATAAAAAAAGATGCCAATGGTGGCGGCCATTGACAGTCAGTTGGCATACAAGCTAGTCCCCTCGTAGATTTGCTCGGATCCAAAATCGCTTACCTGTCAATGGCATCAAGGAAGAAGTCCAATCCAACATCTTCCATGTCGCTCACGTAGCGGTTGCCGTCGACCAGCTATCGCCGCCGCAAGAAATACTCTTGCCGGTCGTCGCAGCGTGGTCTGGCGGCCGGGGGTGGTTGGGCGGCAAGGGTTTTTCAGAACGACCGAGACGCACGTGTGTCGCAAACGTGTGAGACGGACGGCTCAGTTTCTCGGCACCGGCCTGTTCCCCTTATCTGATCCATGAAACGCAAAAACACTAACGTCCTGGTCCACGGACCAGTTCACGCCCGCGCCTGCTCCGTCAAAAACGCACGCCCCTGGCCGACTGCTAGCGCACTGTTTCCTACCGTATTTCGCCTCGCTGCCTATTTTCTGCGATCCGCGCCTGACACGGCAGACCTCTTTTCATGGATCCCGAGCGCAGAATGGAAGGTGAAGATATCAGGTTCAGCTGGGCTCGGGCACCAATGTCTCCTTATTTTGTGTCTTAATATTGTGATGAGAACAAAATGGTTTTCCAGAATCGTAGTGGGGTTTTCCAGAATAGAGACACGCAGGCCGTTAGAAACTTTGAATTGCTATTTCCTTTTTTATGGATATTTTTCTTGTGTGGAACATGAGGTTGAAGTGTCCCACTCGAGAAGTAGTGTGCCACTGCAATCCCCAGGTCCTCCTTTTCCTCGTTGTGGCCACAGCTCCGGCCATGGCGATGAGCTTCTTGTCCACCGCTAACACATCGTTCGTGCCCTTCCGCCGCCTCTCCCGCCACAAGCCCACCGCCGCCCCCTCGCTCCCGTTCCCCATCAATCGCTGCCGCTCACCCTCCTGCTCCCTTCTCCCTTCCCAGCGCCGGCGCCTCTTCTCTTCCAAGACCCCCACCACCAACCTCCTCTCATCAATCACGGCCGCCACGAGAACCCTGCTCTTCCTTCTCGTCGCCTCCATCCTCTCCCTCTCCGGCGTCCGGCGCCCCCTCCCGTCACTCGCCGCCCCTCCCCCACCCACGCAGCAACCGCAAGACGACACCAAGGGACAGCAAGAAGAAGAACCCGACCAAGGGGATCAGGAAGAGGAGGACGAGGCGGAGTGGTTTCGGAAGGAGGAGGAGGAGGTGGAGGCGGCCTGGATGCAGCCAAGCGACGACGAGGAGGAGGAAGAGGACGACGACGAGGTCCAGATGTACCTGGAGGTCCTGAGCGAGGACCCGGGCGACGTGGACGCGCTCAAGTGCGTGCTCTTCGCCAGGATGCGGCGCAAGGACTGGGGCGGCGCGCTGCGCTACGCGGCGCAGCTGCGGGAGGCCGAGCCCGGCGAGGTGGAGTGGCGGCTCATGGAGGCGCTGCTGCACGAGCTCAAGGGGGACATCGCCACCGCCGAGCGGCTCTTCCAGGAGGTCCTCGCGGAGAAGCCCCTCCTCGTCCGGGCTCTCCATGTGGGTACACACACGCACACGCTTTCTTTCTTACCCGCAGTCTGCTCTTGTTAATATTATAATGATTAGACTGGTCACACTCTATGAATGTTGGGTAGATTTTGGGAAATGAAATCAGTACTGGTAGGTAGGAGTTCAAGATAAAAGTAATTGTACCATGAGCATTGTTGCAAATCGCTGTAATTTTATTGTATGCCAATATCTCGATGCGAATTTGATTACAGTGCTAGAATTTCTCAAGGAAAAACACCAACTTAAATTTCTTATACTGTCTAATCTTTGATGGCTGGTACTAATAAGAAATTAAGCTCTACTTTTTGAATTGTTTGGCTTTTTGAATCCAAACAATTTAAAAAGTATATCTGCATTTAATTAAGAGGGAACCAAAACTAGGTCTTGCATTTTGTCAAAGGTCAAATGATTTTGTTTGTCTATACACTATAAGGAGGCTCTTCTTGTTTATGTATTGGATGACAGCTGATGTACACATAAATCCACGAGGGAAATAGAGCTGTGGTAGAATTCTTATGTGAGAAATGTTTGATACGAATTTGTATTTCAGGCCTTTGAAGCATGCACCGGGTCGTACTGCAATTTGCCATTCTGATTTTATAACAAGGACAGATTGCAAATTTGCAATTCTATCATCCATTAGTGAAACTTGCTTTTTACTCTAGTCCTTCCTGGCGTGGTATTTACAAACCTAGCTGATATTTCCTCTCAACATTTCCCATTTCTGCAGGGACTCGCATTGTGCATGCATAAAAGACTCGAAGGACCAACTGTTTTTGAGATGCTGGAGAAAGCTTTGCAACTCGTAGTATCCGAGGAAAGGGTCCCAGAAGAGCGCAACATAAAGCTTCTGATTGCACAGATGCATGTTGTCAAGGTAACAGATCATACCAAAGTCCTGAGAACACAGCATGTTTCTGATTTCTAATGGAATTCCCGCCTTCCTGGCACGGCAGGGTGACCTGGATGTTGCATCAGAGAAATTGAGAACTCTTATTAATGAGGATCCAAGGGACTTTCGGCCTCATCTTTGCCAGGTATTCCATGAACATTTGCAGGTTTGATATGTTCTCGGGCTCTCCTTCTGAAGTCTCCGTGTCCGCTGTGTTTCTTTGTTGCAGGGCATTGTATATGCACTTTTGGACAAAAAGGAAGAAGCAGACGAGCAATTTGATGTGTACAGAAGCCTTGTGCCGGACGAGTTCCCGGACAAGAGTTTTATCAATGATGTTATACTATTGGCCAAAGTGGAGTCAAAAGATCGGCTACAGAAGGACTTTAGATCAGAGTACCTATCTAAAAAGTGACACTTCAGGTTTTCCTATACCTGAACGGCTCTTCATACTTAGTGAGGTAGCTCCAGATAGTTGCGTATTTATGCGCATACAATGACACAAAGTGCAATATTGCTATAAGTGAGAATGCAGTATAATGAAGATAAGTGAAGGAGATGTGGATCTCCTGTAACCTAACCAGGTTCCTACAACTTTTAGCTCATGTGTTAATCCTCAAACGGTTGCCACACAACCATGAATTGCATATGGATGTGCACGAAATGCTTAAGACCTTCTAATTTCTGACAGAGATGCACCGTTTCGTTGACCTCTCTTCGTCTTAAATGGAGGCTAATTCTGGAACGAGCGCCGCCGCTCCCTCGTCTCGATGATGAGAGCTGAAGCACTGATGGGTACGAGAACCGTAATGCTTGTAAATGTCTTCCTTTTGCGCGGGAATACTAGTTAAAGTCATTCGGCTGGTAAATTTGGCTCAACTTTGTGCTATATGGAACTTATGCATTTTTGCTGTAAGAATAGGCATGGGAACAAAAAGGGAAATCGTGTTTAGAAAAATGGAAACAGTTGATCGAACAGTAAATTAGCAACACCTAATTAAGCAGATGAGATACGTCATACATCACCGCAATGCCTAATGGAGCATTTTTTTGACAGTATGCCACACAGTGCCTTTTGGTTTTGCTTACCGAGATGTTGTATGAAAAGAGAAAAAAACTACTCCATTTATCGAAAAAGGCTTCGCCCCCACTTTATATATACATTTTTGCTAGAACTCATCTAGATGAGATTTAATTTGGTCTCATTCACCTTTTATAGCCATTGGATGTGGTGCTATAAGATGCGTGTGTGCTGACGTGGGTTGTATCCGTTCTTGTTTTCCAGGTGAATGAGACCAAATTACGTCTCATCTAGATGAGTTCTAGGTACTCCCTTATATATAAATCAAAGATCACCAATAACCCGGTACAATGCATGCCATCAGAACACACGCACACACCCAAGACAGGATACATAGGCACTAAGCGCATCAATACCACCCCTAGCACTATATGAGCCACCGGGGGGCCTCAACCGTGAACACGCCACCGTGAAGAGAAGAAGCTACATACGACGCACCGTGGGCTCCAAGCCGATGCCTATAGGAAGGTTACGACACCGAAGCGCCGCCACCGCCCGACCCAAGAATTAGAGTTTCCCTCGGAGCAACACGACATGCAGTAAGAGCCGCGACGACGCCTTTAAAAAAGGAACGAGCTTCGCCGCCGCCGGTCCGTCCGAAGATAGAACATGTTTTCACCCCGGCTAATATTCACCGCCACTGAACGTCACACCTTGGCTACCACGCCGCCCACACGGCCATGGCCACCAGGCAGCACCAAGCCACGGGCTTTGCCCATGAGCACCGCGACACCACCACCAGGGCCATCGCCCCGACATCCAGGACCATGACGCCACCTCACCCGTCACTCACCGCTACCCCAACCAAAGATGGGAGTGGAAAGGAACCGCCTTTCACACCCCTAAGCTATCCCCAACGTTGAGACCCAATAGGCCGGCCAAAACTGGCCACCATCGATCCGTCCTGCCGCCGGGCGCGAGACGAGCTCGGTCCTGCCGCCAGACGCGAGACAAGCCAGGTCATGCTGCCAGGCGCGAGACGAGTTCGGTTCTGCTGCCGGGCGCGGGACGAGTCCAGTCCTGCTGCCGGGTGCGGGACAAGCTCGGACCCGCTGCCGTGCACGAGACAGGCGATGGGCCGCAGCTAGGAGAGGGCCAACCCTCCGATGAAGGTAGTGCCCGAACGAGGTAGAAAGGAATCGAAGGTCGACAAGGACGCTCATCGACAGACAGACGCCGAAGAAGTCCAGCCGTCGTCGTGAAACGACCCAGATCACCGCCATGGGCCACCACCACGCCATGGCAGCCCACGTCCACGTCGGGACCCCGAGGGGCAGCCCCGAGTCATTTTGTCGGAACTACCGCCGTATCAAAAAGCCTGGCACGGACAGTTTGAACTTGGCTCGGCTCGTTCACGAAAGACGACGCGCGTTTGTGTATGCGTATTCAGTACCGTCACAAACATGTTCAAGCATCACACGGTCCGCCACAAACATGTTCGGGCATCACCACGGTCCGAGGCAGGACGTGTCGTGGCAAAACATCTGATATGGAGCAAGGCATAAACCATTTGATACGGCACAACAGATCTTCTGGATTGCTATGTCAAATGGCTCATCCAGGTCGATAACAAGTGGCAAGACCACTATACCACGGCTCATTGTCATTCACCCACTATATTAACTTCAGTCCCGGTCATAGCACAGACCCATAGTCATTCTCCTCCAGCCCCTTTCTTCTGTCAGCACCACTCCAATCATAGCCTCCTCGCGCTCCAAATCTCTCTGGGATGTACTGTCACCGGAGCAGACGAAGGACATTGCCGGCTCCTCTCCAGGCGCGCTCCAAAGCTCTCTTGGACGTATTGTCGCAGGAGCAGACGAAGGACATCGCCGGCTCCCCCCTCGGCCGCTCTCCGTCGCCATGACCACGAAGCCGGCACGTGTGCACGGGCGCCACCAGCAGCGAGTAAGAATAGTGCATGGTAGGTCACCGCCGCTATGGTCCCAGAAAGGCCACCGCTCCTCCCCTCCGTCGAAGCTTGGTGGGCTAAATATGTGTATTTTTGTTGATGGCATTTAAAAAAAACAGTGAAACAGGCCTTTGGG